CATGCACCATTGCCAGACACTGGGTGAATGTGAGCCAGATGAAACGGACTCCCCTGCCTGTGACCAAGATGTCCTTGTGACACTACGGCTGTCACCTGCCTACAGCTTTCATTTTTAATCTTACATCTCAGCAAATACAGCATTATTTCTCCAATAGTGTTGGCTGTTGATATTATCACTTGACTGGTTATTTATCATACATATCTGTAATTGAATTACCCACTGCAGTAATGGGATTTACTCTCAAATGCACATAAAAATGCAACACAAAGTAGAATTGTTCCGCTGTGTGCTTCCTTGTCACTTGGCTTGAACTCCAGGTCAGCCAATTCCCCAGGAAAGCAGAGACGAAAAAGACTGAGAGATGAAAGACAGGTGGGTTCATGACCAAACACAACAGAAACCACCCTTTAGCAAAGGCATTCTCTTTTTAAATGGCTTCCCATTCGCTGTTAATCAGACAGCCAGTCCAAAAACATGCAAAAAAAAAAAAAAAAAAAAAAAGGTAGCGATTGAGTGGCTTACTTCTCCATGTGCAGTTGTGGGCATGTGGGGAAACATCTGGGAACTCGGGAAGGGGAGTAAGATGCTTTTTGCTAATAATCTTTGCTTTTGTTAAATTCCCATAAATTCGGGGGGTGGGAAGAAGGGAAGATGATGACAGGCGTACTTTGGGCAAAGTGTTTTGACTGTTTGAGTCCACGCTGCACGGATCCTGCTGCTTTCAATGGCATGCCCCAGATGAAACACAACTCCATCTTTGAAGTTTTCTGGCTTCAAACTACCCTGTGAAATGGAGGCCAGGTTTCCTATTCCTAGGATCTTCCACAAGTCACCAGTTAATTGTGTCAGTATCTGTATGCTAAAATAACTTAGGGTTCAACACCTTCTCTTGTGTTGTGTTGTAGTGGGAGCCGCGTTCCCGTCACCCAGCTACCGGCTAGTTTACACCCGAAATAATTACACGAAAACTGTATTCTTTTAAGCACTGCTTGGCCCCTTAATTTCAGCCTCTTATTGACTAACTCTCACATCTTAATTAACACGTTTCTATTAATGAGTGTAGCACCTTGAGGTGGTGGTTTACCAGGAAAGATCGTAACCTGCGTCTGTCTCGGAGAGGAGAGTCATGGCGACTACCTCATTGCCTTCTTCCCAGCATTCTGTTCTGTCTACTCTACCCACCTATATTCTGACCTATCAAGCCAAGCAGTTTTCTTTATTAACCAATGAAAGTAACACAATAGACAGATGACCCTCCTCCATCACTCTTGGGTCAGGCTTTCTGTTTACTGTGTTCTGTCTTCCTGAAACTCTGAACAAAACAGAATTTTAGGCTAAGGTAAAAAGTCTGCTTGGATCCAAAGTACAGTTTCTATGTCCTCTTTCCTTTCTGTCAGAAATAGATGCTGTGTGTCTGAGTAATCAGTACCTGAAACACAATGGTATAGTTGGTAAAGGCACTTGCTACAAAATCAAATGACCCAAATTTGGTTCTCAGATACATGGTAGAAGAACAGAACTAATTCCCACAAGCTGTCATGTGACCTTCACATATTCACCATGCCATGTGAAAAGCACACATACATACACACACACACACACACACACACACACAAACACACACACACAGGCACATATGCACACTCATTTACTTAAAAATAAATTTTTAATAAAATTAAATACCAAAAAAATAAAATAAGTTCTGTAGTTACACGTATACCAGCTACCTCTTCAAGCTACATCCTGCAGAGCTGGAGGAGACCCATCTCTGTGATGCTACCAATCGGTGGGAATTAAAAACAGCAGAATATCTATAGCAGACCATGTCTGTAGGGTGGGAGAGGCTTTCAAGCACAGTAATTTTGGACTAGACTTATATCTTCAACCAGAAAGGATGCGGGAGCATCTGTGAAAATCTCTATGTTGCCGACAACAGCACCAGAGACACTATAAACAACTTAGGAAATGACATATGCTCATCTGGGGATTCCAGAAAAGTTAACTTTGCAGAATATAAATATAAATTTGAAGCAGGTGCAGGTGGGCAGACATGGAGAAGCTTCCCCACTAGATACTTAGTTGCAATTCAATTTGTTAGACACTGTAATTTGTGTTTTCAACATTATTGAACATTAAACACAAAAACTTGTCACCTTGGTATTATAATTATACCCTAAGCAATTTGTCTGAGTAACTATAGCAACAACTCCAGATACATTTTATAATACTAATTTGGTACAATTTTAGAATCAAGAATTATCGTGGATTTATTATAGAAAGTAGAAATGTTTTTCGCAAATGGTTGTACATATTCTACACTAAAAATGGGTTACTTAGCTAGGACTTAATGTAAATGAATGGATTTATTCTGTAGTGCACATTACGAGATCTATAACACAAGCCTTTTCTTTGAGGGCAAATTCTAATCTGCAAACTCTGGAGTCCGTGTTCACCCATTTATTCGATGGGATAGCCTGTATCCTTGGTTGAACTGCCAGCAAAGTCCCACTCAACCCTCCTCCACCTTCCTGTATTTTATTGGTGGAGAGCCTCTATTTCAGTGATCCGACATCCCGAGCCCTTAAAGATCATCAGCCAGTTAACTGGAGCTTTGCAATGGTTCCACTAGGTAGCCCTCTCTGGCATGAGAAACAATTGATACAGTCACTGGGAAACTGGCAACTATCTTGAGCAAGAAACCCTCAGCAAGAGGCTAGAGTGAGGATAGATAAACTGATAACTAGGAGGACTTCCGGTGGTCCGTGGAGTCCAAGCTTATGCTAAGCTTGCAAGAATACGCTTATATTTAATCTTAGTATCATTGTCAACTAGTTTTACTCTACGGTCTACATTTCTCTGCTTCATTCTTGCAGACATGGCTAGGAAGTTGAGACAGACACAAACAGGGACAACTACCAGTTTATTTTCACCAAATTCTGAACACCTCAAATACTTCCCTGGTCAAATCCAGGCTTTCCGGCCCAGAAGACTAAAGTCTTTGCTCTCTGCAGGGAGCCGCAGCTGTTCGCCATGAAGACACCCAAAAGCGCTAGCAACATCTTAAAAGCCATAAAATAATGAGCATCATTCACCCTCCTTCCATGAGGACAAGCACGTGTTGACTACAGATGTAGACGAGCGGATAGCAGTTCACAGTCCCTGTAATCCTGTGACCACACATTGTGACTACAGGCAGCATCTCGGGGAGCCACCATCCCCAATGCTTTTACAATAAACAAACTCAAGCCAAAGGAAATCTGCGTTTCAGATAATCCCATGTAGAACCACTCTGTCTTGTAAATCAAGCATGCAGAAGAAATTTGAGTGGGCAGAGAGAAACACACATTTCATTTGGAGTAAACGCAGGAAGGAAAAGTTGCTTCAGTGATCTACAGTAGAAGGTGTCCGCTTAAGACTTATGCCTTCAGTGGAACTGTGAACTGCTTATTCCCAGGGATAGGCTTTACCTTCTCGCAAAACAATGAAAAGTGGCATTAATCAGAAGCTAGTTCAACGATTCTAATAGGATATTAAAAAACAGTTTGCTGCTAAAGTCTAGTTTTGTCTTTCTGTGTCACCTTTTAAAAGATGGTCTCTGTAGTTAATAACACTCCTGCTCTTCACACTCTTGGCCATTACAAGAGTCCTCCCAGATAAGCCTGGACACACAGTTATTTTAAAATAAATGTAAATAAAAAGCTGCAATCATTTTAACACCCGCCTTTTAGCCAATATGCTCCTCGGGAACCAAACTTCCTCTCCGTATTGCACATAACTATGACATTTCCACATAATTTCAATTGCCTGCTAGTCAAACCCAATTGTCAAAGGAGAAAGATTTGCAAACAGAGGAGTTTGTAGGAATTTGTCTTCTAAGAGACCTTTCCGGTGAGAGGACTTTCATCCAACTTTTCTGTCCCTTCTTCTGAGTAGACCGAAAGCTCTCTACGGTAACAGAAAACTTCCTCCGCCCTTTGCCTTTTTGGGGGGTGCAATTACTGCAAAATCTGTGTTTTCCCACTGCTAGGATTCCCTACCCTCCTGCCCAGGACAGAAACACCAACAGACTCTGAAGCATCCTCTCGTCCTCTCCGAAAGCTCGCTCTTGGCGCCCCCTGCCGGGGATCTCTGGGACGCTGAGGGCGCAGGAAAGTTAAAGCCCAACTCCAGGCAACCGCATCCAGGTAAAACAACAAAAAGACAGACGAAAGCGCTTCCCGCCAAAGCCAGGGGAACTGGAACCCAACAACGCTAAGCCCGGTACCAGGGGTGATCGCGGGGGTTTAACCCCGACCTCCAACAGTCCCTCCGAACATCCCGAACCCGGATCTTCGCCTGACCCCGGACCCTGAGCTCGGGTACGAAACGCATGAAGCGGAGGTGCCAGTGCACAGAGGTTCCGCGAGTGGCTAGCGGGTCCCTAGGCCTCACCACCCCTGCCTTAGTCTACCTCAACAAAACAGCCTGGAGGAGCTGAGTCCTAGCCCCACTAACCCCGGATTCTCGCGAACACCGCAAAGCCCCTGTACCGAGAGCAAGAAAATGTCCCCGAGTCCACAGGGCTGGGAGGTAGGCGATTCCGATTGCCAGACCTGGCTGGCTGCAGCTCCCACCACGCGAGCCTGACTTCGCGCGGAGTGCGCCCACAGACAGAGCTCCAAGCGTACCTGAGAGGTGCTGGCCGAGGTGCAGGCTCGCCCACTGTCCGATCGCACACCCGGACACTCCAGCTCCTTTCCAACACACGCTTGGATCTGGGCAAAGGCTAGGACACAAACTTCCAGCCCGTGCACTACCTCTACTGCGACCGCCTCCGCACTGACGGTGGTCCTATTCCTACTCGCGCGGCTGCCGGGCTGTCCCCACCCAGCTGCCTGCAGAGTGACCCTAACCGAGACCTATACCACCCACAGACAGTCCAATGTTGCCCCAGGTCTAGTTCACCCGAGCAGGGTCTCAGCCACGACACCCAGGGACGCGGTGGGGAGCGGGCTCACCAGATGCGGGGAGCGTTCTTCCTGCCAGTCATCCAGCGCCCGGGCCCGGAGGGGCTCCAAGGGTCCTCTTCAGCGCGCTGCAAGGGAAGTCGAGGCAGCTGCCGCTACTGCTCCCCGCCACTTCTCCAGAGCTATCCTCTGCTCGCTGCGCGCCGGGCTGGGGATCAGCTCCACCGCCAGGAGCACGGAGTCCGTAGTTGTGCAGCTGAGCATGCAAGCTCGCGTTGAGCGAGGGCGACCCTCAAGGTGGCAAAGTTGGGTGCCCTCTGCTTGGTAGCCGCTCGTGAGAACACCCCCCCAAAAAAAGGTCGCACGTGCTGGAGCGTCCCCGCAGTGAAAAACTGGGATGCAGAGGCCACCTCTTTGCAGGGGCCGCGGCCGGCCAGGGTTTGAGAAGCCCACCCGCTACGGGAGCGCAGCACCCGGGAGTGGGCACAGCGTGAGCCGCCGGCGCCGCCTTCCCGGCGAGTAGAATAGCGCTAGAAGCGCGGGCCCGGAGCTCGGGGCGGGGAGCCCAGGGCCGCCTCGCCACGCCCTCGCCACGCCCCCGCCGCCACACCTCCCCTTCTCTGCCCCTCCCCGGTGCAAGCCGAGCGCTCCACCCGCCCCTGACCTCCTCAGGCCCCTCCTCTGGCCCCGCCTCCTCTCGAGTTGGGACCCCTAAACACTCCCCGGGGGGCTGTCACCCCACCCCACGAGTCCCATTTATGCCTCCCGAGTGCAAGTTCACTTAAATGGTGACATTTTAGGGACTCTCTTTCTCGGCTCGCGGAGACCTTCTAAGGTTACCCGCCCCCTGTCCAGTCGCTCCGACGTGGCTACTTTGCGGGTTGGGCTGTATAAAGGGCTGGAGGCAGCTCGACGCAAATCAGAGACGTGGCGCTTCTACTAGGCCGGCCTAGGCTCCAGGTATGTGCGCGCCCTTTGGCGGATCACGGGTGGGGAGAGAAGGTAGAAGTTTAAGATTCAGTTCTTCCGTGTCATCTTAAGAAGGCTGGGGGCAGAATGGGGGCCGGGGGACGAGGGGCTCGCCGCGGATTCTTGCAAGCAAGTTGGGCCCACGTGGCTCTCAGCTAGTTTTGGCTTACTTGGAGAGCATAGATCAGACAAATGAACAAATCTGCCATCCAGAGAAGCAGAGCAGGGGGTCTCCAAGTGGCCCAGGTAGCATTAGGAGAGGGTCTCTTCATGGATAGAGCCAGCTGGGCTAATTCGCCAGTCTGCAAGGATATTTGAGCCTCTCGGAGTTTATATTCGAACGCAGAGTAAATCGCCTTGGCAGGGCAGTTTTGTTGACAGAGTTGTTCTTTTCTCCTTCTAGGGAAGTGATCAACTCACCGGGTTTTAAACAACTTACGGGGTTGTTGAATGGGAAAGTCACAGGATAAAGAGAGCCTGAAAACTCGGGTTCCTACCCCTGTAGCCACGTGTGACCCCTTCCCTCAGTATAGGATGGGGTGAGAGCATGGTCAGGCTATTTTTTTCCCTATCTTGGGCTTTGTTAGTGGCTTCAGGATGTTTTTGCATTAAGGGACCTCATGAGTGGCTCTCTTTGCTGCAGAACCGAAGGTCGCCCTCATGGGGCCACATTCACACCCTGGTAATTGGCAAGTTGCAAATGTGCTGGGGGGGGGGGAGCAGTTCAGAGGTCTGTAAGGGTGTGCCACTGTACGAACTGGAGACCTGGTAATAGCTGGAATGTGTCACAGCCCCTTCCAGGACCACTGAGACTCAAGAGGAGAACAATAGAAGCACAAATTGCCCTCAATTTGTCGTTTCTGTCACCTTTCAGATAAACGAATTCAGTGAAACTAATTTGAAAGCCTCTGTGGGATCCGATGTCAACCCCAGAGGGCACAGTAGCTGGAACTGTGGGCACGGAGGGGACCAGGGGCCTAACTTGGATGGCTTTTCGGAATTTGGGGGGGAGCATCCCTCACAGTTGTTTGACTGGCTTCTAGCTCTCGGTGGCAGCCCCTGGCTTCTGGGTCTTGAAGGGAAAAGTTAATGGGTTTCCTGGGCTTGCTTCTGCTTCAGAAGTGGGTGGGAACTGGAGCCATTGCTAACACTCCCTTCCCTTGCCTACGTGGCGCAGGAGCCTGAGAGGCTCTTGGGAGACAGAGGCCTGCCAAGGGCCAAGGTCTGACAGCGGAGGCCTTCAGCCTTTCACATGAACCCTATAGCCTTCGTGTGGGCGGATAGGACCTCACAGGGTGAAGAAAGACAAATTAAGACTCAAATGTGTTTAGCTAATTCATACCTGCTACTGTTAAAAACAATTAACACTTTTTAATAAATTATTTTTTTAAGAAAGAAAGAAGTGAGGTGTATCATGCCTATGTGCCCAGCGCTCTGGTGTCTGAGGCAGGAGGGCTGGGGCCTAAGGCCAGTTTGGGGTCATCTAGGGGGACCCTGTCTCATATAAACTCACAAGCAAGCAAAGAAACTCATCTTAGCTTGGAGGCCTAAGCCCTGTGCACCCTGAGGATTATCACACAGACTCTCCCCCTGGAAATGAAGCTACTTTGTGTCACTGGAGCAGGCAATGGGTTCGGTCTGGCTGTTTACAAACCACACTGTACCAGTGATCCCGAATTAGAAATCGCCAATAAGTGAGGACAGAAACTAAATTCTCGTTTAGAGTGCTTTCTTGGTTTAAAGCTGAGGTTCTAAGTTGAGGACGATTTTGTCCCCGACTTGCAGAAAGTCTGTGAACTTTCTGAGCTGGTGTCTTCTTGTGCCCCTTGTCCAGCTCACCAGAAATGTCAGTCAGAAGCAGCAAAGGCGGAAGGAGTTGTTAAACATCAAATACCCGAGACTCAGCACCAAGTAGGCCCTCTGAAAAATGTAATTGTTTTAAAGTGCTTATACATATTTCCTTTTTCTAATAAAATTTGAATTTTTTTCCTTTTAAGAAGTCTTTCTTGTTAAAGTACCCGCATCACCAGACTGTAAAACTAAATGTGATTATAATTTTATCAAGGGTGTTCTGTAGTCATCACAATGAAACGCTCTCTTTCCCTTCCCTGCCCCCGCCCCACCCCCACTCAACTGCTTGGGGTGAGCCTTGTGTACAGGGTCAAAACTGAGAAGAGCAGGGAAATAACCCAGCTGGTGAAAATGATGAATTCTGGGGCGCTGATTCATGTGACTTGAAAAACGCCATCCATTTCCTGACTCACCTAAGACGCTCTTCAGCAATACGAAGCCGTCCATGACTTTGAACTAATGCAGCGATTTCCCATCATCTTTATATCCCCTCCCAGGGCCTGATTACAGCCGGAGAATGGAGCAGGGAGAGCTGAGGAGAGCACGGCCTGAGAGGCGGGAAGACACAACTGTGGACCACAGCTGGCTTTTCCAGGAAGACTTGCTACCTGCGGACTTCAGAATGTAATAAGACTACTAAAGTATTAAAAGGAAAATAGAAACAATCCTGGAATCCTGGCTTCTTTACATTTCATGTGTCTCTGTAGATGAGCCAGGTAGTTGTTAGAGTCACCGTTAGATAATTTTTTTTCACCCTGGTTTCAAAGATTTGCCAAGATCCTATGCTTTGTTTTTGTTTTTTGACAGAGTTTCTCTGTGTAGCCCTGGCTGTCCTGAATTCAGTCTGTAGTCCAGGCTGGCCTCCAGCTCAGAGATGCAGCTGCCTCTGTCTCCCCAGTGCTGGGATTAAAGGCGAGTGCCACCACTGCCTGGCTAATGTTCTCCTCTTTAGCACAGCTAAACACTGATGCAAAGACGGGAAGCTTGATGTCACCGCAGCATTGCTCAGAGCGGCTCCGGGAGGCCCACAGTTGTAGTTACAGATGACACCTTGATGGCCTCCCGTGCAGGTTTTCACAGACAAAGGCATTTGAACTGGAGAAGTTGAGTCAACTTTCACCAGTCTGCTGGGCTTCACAAAAACCCCCTTAGGCTTCCTTTGCCCCAAGAAAGCTCACTCCCCTTCAGTGCCCGTTCCCTGAGTGGTGTTAAGGAGACTAGATTTGTATTAAAAGAACATGGTACGTGCCTGAAAGCTGTCATCTCGCAGACACACTCACACATACACACTCACACACTTGTACACACATAAACACTTACACACACACTCACATACACACTCTCACACACATTTACACATGCATACACACAGACACACACATATACACACTCACACACTTACATACACATAAACACTTACACATTCACATACACAAACTCACACATATTCACACTCACACAGATACACACATACACACAGTCACACATACACACACACACACACACACACACAAGGGGCTTTAAAGAATATGGTATAAAGTGCAGATTCTCAGGTCTCAAGGTAAAGTTTTGTCCCCAGTTATTCCTGAGGGATGACACAGAGAGACCTGCTTTCACCCACCCTCGGGGAGTTCTGCTTCCCAGTTACCTCTCAGATTCACCCACACCAAGCATGGCATCCTTTGATCTCATAGCCATGTTAAAAGAAGCGGCCTGGTTAAAGTGCCGGCCACAGCAGTAAACAGAGTCAGGGTTTTCCCAGACAAACCCTCACGAAGACATGCTTGCTCTCTGGAAGGGGAAGGACTTAGTCTTCAACCGTTACTTTTTTTCTTAACACGTTCAGTGATACAAGTGTTCAGTAGGGCATCACAATTTGCTTCTGCTACATTTCCAGAAATCAAAGCATTCTAGATGTGTGTGTACGCACACACGCATGCAAGTATGTGCACACGTGGCTGGATTTCTAGATATGTTTTCTGGCAACCCAATTTCCTGAAGATAAAGCTTGTGCCCTCAAAGCAGTTCACGTTGTCTTTTAGAAGCATGGTACGGGGAGCAGAAAAATGCCAAGTTTAAATAATTTTTGGAATATCTACAGGAAAGGCAGATGGTTTCTGGCAGGAAGATAAAGCATCCTCTTAGTTTCCTTGGAGTTATTTTCTGACATTGAGACTCATATGTCTTGAGTGTTTATAAGCAAAGAGTGGCTGTACTTACTTTAAAAAGGTATTTGACTTCTTAGCTAATGTCTTCTGCCTTCTTCTGTCTTTGAGAAACGGAGCTTCGAGGGGACATCAATCCTTTCAAAAATACATTTTAAAAATACATTTAGATTTTGAAGCACAAATTTGTCTGTCCAAGTTTATTTCAATATTTACCAACTAAATTTAGTATACTGACATTGAATTCAATAAAAGGGATATTTGTAGAATTAACCAAAGGGGGGGGGGCATGTCTTCTCAAGCAAATTAGGAGGAATAAAGGTTGTTGGGTCCTTGTAGTCCTCTGTCAAAATTTATTTCTGACCTTCCTTCCCATTCCCTCCATTACTCCCTTAATTCAGCATGTCAGTTTCTCCCCCTCCAAACACAACACTGCTGACAGCAGTGATTGCTCCTCAAACAGCATCACCCCCCTCCCCAAGCATCATCTTTAATGACACAAGACTGGTTTTATTTGAATTACAAAATAACTGGTTTTAAAACAAATACAAACAACA